ACCAGGTCTAACTAGCCAGGTCTAACTAGCCAGGTCTAACTAGCCAGGTCTAACTAGCCAGTTCTAACTAGCCAGGTCTAATTAGCCAGGTCTAACTAGCCAGGTCTAACTAGCCAGGTCTAGCTAGCCAAGTCTAACTAGCCAGGTCTAACTAGCCAGGTCTAACTAGCCAGGTCTAACTAGCCAGGTCTAACTAGCCAGGTCTAACTAGCCAGGTCTAATTAACCAGGTCTAACTAGCCAGGTCTAGCTAGCCAAGTCTAACTAGCCAGGTCTAACTAGCCATGTCTAACTAGCCAGGTCTAACTAGCCAGGTCTAATTAGCCAGGTCTAGCTAGCCAGGTCTAACTAGCCAGGTCTAGCTAGCCAGGTCTAACTAGCCAGGTCTAACTAGCCAGGTCTAGCTAGCCAGGTCTAACTAGCCAGGTCTAACTAGCCAGGTCTAACTAGCCAGGTCTAACTAGCCAGGTCTAGCTAGCCAGGTCTAACTAGCCAGGTCTAGCTAGCCAGGTCTAGCTAGCCAGGTCTAGCTAGCAGGTCTAAATAGCCAGTTTAGCTAGCCAGGTCTAACTGCAGGTCTAGCTAGCCAGGTCTAACTAGCCAGGTCTAACTAGCCAGGTCTAACTAGCCAGGTCTAGCTAGCCAGGTCTAACTAGCCAGGTCTAACTAGCCAGGTCTAACTAGCCAGTCTAGCTAGCCAGGTCTAACTAGCCAGGTCTAACTAGCCAGGTCTAGCTAGCCAGGTCTAGCTAGCCAGGTCTAACTAGCCAGGTCTAGCTAGCCAGGTCTAACTAGCCAGGTCTAACTAGCCAGGTCTAACTAGCCAGGTCTAGCTAGCCAGGTCTAACTAGCTAAGGTCTAACTAGCCAGGTCTAACTAGCCAGGTCTAGCTAGCCAGGTCTAACTAGCCAGGTCTAACTAGCCAGGTCTAACTAGCCAGGTCTAGCTAGCCAGGTCTAACTAGCCAGGTCTAGCTAGCCAGGTCTAACTAGCCACGTCTAACTAGCCACGTCTAACTAGCCACGTCTAACTAGCCAGGTCTAGCTAGCCAGGTCTAACTAGCCAGGTCTAACTAGCCAGGTCTAGCTAGCCAGGTCTAACTAGCCAGGTCTAACTAGCCAGGTCTAACTACCCAGGTCTAACTAGCCAGGTCTAACTAGCCAGGTCTAACTAACCAGGTCTAACTAGCCAGGTCTAACTAACCAGGTCTAACTAGCCAGGTCTAACTAGCCAGGTCTAACTAGCAGGTCTAACTAGCCAGGTCTAACTAGCCAGGTCTACTAACCAGGTCTAACTAGCCAGGTCTAACTAACCAGGTCTAACTAGCCAGGTCTAACTAACCAGGTCTAACTAGCCAGGTCTAACTAGCCAGGTCTAACTAGCCAGGTCTAACTAGCCAGGTCTAACTAGCCAGATCTAACTAACCAGGTCTAACTAGCCAGGTCTAACTAGCCAGGTCTAACTAGCCAGGTCTAGCTAGCCAGGTCTAACTAGCCAGGTCTAACTAGCCAGATCTACCTAGCTAGGTCTAACTAGCCAGGTCTAACTAACAATGTCTAACTAGCCAGGTCTAACTAGCCAGGTCTAACTAGCCAGGTCTATCTAGCCAGGTCTAACTAGCCAGGTCTAACTAACAATATCTAACTAGCCAGGTCTAACTAGCCAGGTCTATCTAGCTAGGTCTAACTAGCCAGGTCTAACTAACAATGTCTAACTAGCCAGGTCTAACTAGCCAGGTCTATCTAGCCAGGTCTAACTAGCCAGGTCTAACTAGCTAGGTCTAACTAGCCAGGTCTAACTAACAATGTCTAACTAGCCAGGTCTAACTAGCCAGGTCTAACTAGCCAGGTCTAACTAGCCAGGTCTATCTAGCCAGGTCTAACTAGCCAGGTCTAACACTTGGCCATCTGTAGTTCTCCTGTTTTCTTGATCATTATCGCCAATATTATCCTTATCTTTATTATTACTAATATTATCCTTATTATCTTCATTATCTTTATCATCATTTTTATATTTATCTTCATTATCTTAATTATTACCTTGTATTATATTTATTATATTCATTATGTTCAATCTTTCTTATCTTTATCTTCATTATTATTGTCATTTTCATTATAATCTTCATTATCTTCAATCTTTATTATCTTTATCTTCATTATTATTGTCATTTTCATTATAATCTTCATTATCTTCAATCTTCAATCTGGAACATCCCGTCTTTGTCCACCTTGTCTATTCCGCGCAGTATTTTATTTGTCGTTATCATGTCTCCCTGACCCTCCTGTCCTCCAGTGTCGTCAAGCCGATTCCTAACTTTTTCGTAGGAAATCCCCTTTGCTCTGGGATGTCTTGTTTCAAAAATTTGCACTTTCTTAATTTCTTGCGTGCTTTACTGGTTTTTATTCCAAATGGTGCTGCATATCCGTATGGGCCTGACGAAAAGGGGCAGAGTTTTGGGGGTTTGCGTTT